TTATATTCTGTTCTACATCATATATGATTTTAACATTTACAGGCATACTTAATAAAAACGATGATAGATGTAGATGAGATTGTAGAAAGCCCGACATTCGGATAAGTTTCAATGACTTTATTATCACCAATGTCCTTTTTCAAATATAAATTCATAAGAATTATGTACTTAAATTAAATGTGGCTTAATTTTGAGATAAAATCAACAATTGGAAAATTATCTATTAAATAATAATGTCATGGGATGCTCAAGTCTCTTCGGATAACATCTACAACTAGAAACACAAGCATATCATTATAAAATCTACAATGATTTATATCTAACAATATATACATATATATATATATATATATAGAGAGAGAGAGAGAGAGAGAATAAAAAGACTGTTATTCTTGGAGATATGTATAAAATATTTCCATTGTAATTACATGATTATTTAGATTTTTATATTGGACGGATATAGTTCATATATATATATACACACACATATAAGAGATTTTGTTTCCAATTTTGAATAGAAATTAATAATAGAAATTTGAGGATAAATATCAAACAAAGGAGTGGCACCCCATTCTTTTGGTATAAGGTATATGTTCTCTTTACATAGTTTGTCTTAATCATCCCTCTTTGTTTTTTCTTTTCTTTTATTTGTTGCCATCTTCCTATCTTATGTAAACTTCTCTCCTTCTTTGTACTCATGTTTTTTTTAAATTATATATATATATATATATATATATATATTCGTATATTTGCGTGTGTACATATTATTCAAAATTGAGGGAACATTCATAGCATCGGAAGTTATACTTTTTCCCTTTATTTTAAAGGGTATTCTGTTACAATTCCCTTTTTTATACATCTACAATATTTAAAAATAATTTTCAAAAAGTAATTGAAAGGGTTATTTTTATTAAATAAAATATCATTGAACCGTTATATTTAAAATATTTGAATATTTTATATTTGAATCAAATTAGTAACGCAACAGAAAGTTTTCATTAATTCAATTAAATTCAATATATGTATATTGATGTTATTTTATTAATTTATTCGACCTGTTACCTGAACACATTTATACGTGGAAAAAAAAAATCCATGCAAAACCATAAATATGTTGACATTTTGGTTCAATTATATATGTCCCATTTTCCAAGTTAACTTTACTGTGACAACCGTGAACCATGGAAAAAAATGTTTTGTTTTGGTGACTAATTACAATATTTCATGCCACTATATATTTAATTTAGTAATATATTATACATATGGCTTATAAAAAGTACAACCCAATTAATAAATCAATTAAAAATAATTATAATACTTTTTTTCGTCTCATGAAGATATACATACACGAACTATTGGAGAGATCTCAAATGGCATTATATAATTAATCGATTAAAGACATTGACATATAAGTTTAGAGAAATTTATAAGTCAACGTGCACATGCACACGTGTGACTTTAGATTACATTAATTACTATATATATATATAATTGTGAATTCCATAGTCAAAATGTTAAGTACAAATATGTTGAAATAAAATGGGAAAATGGCAAAAACCCACACAGATTATCCAAAATGTGTAAAATAAGTACATCAATTTTTAATTTGACAAAATTCCCCACCCGATTTCAAATTTTCTCGTTTTCCACCACCGATTATTCCTTAAATTTCCAATTAACACCGGGAAGGAGATTGATCGTGCCACATCAGCATCCGATTGTTGATGTGGCATGACACGTCCCAAAAAATACCACGTCAGGTGACACATCAGCAATTCAGGTTAGTTAAATCAGTTCATTTAATCGATCCGGTTTACTGAAAACCGAAATTTTTATTAAAAAGAATTTGGGATTTAGGGTTTCGAAATCTCTCATTTATCTCGTCTTCTCTCCTCTCAACCCGAACCGCATGGAAGGGATGACTGCGTTTGTTCTCTTCGAAATTCGAGGGCCGTGGAGTCGGGCCGCGTGAGGATTGAACCGAGTACATATCCGCTGGGCCAAAATTTGAGAGCCTTCCGCCGGGAAACCCATCACGGCGTAGAAGTCGGAGTGGGTTAAATTGGATCCTCTCGGAGTTGAGCTGAGGCTGTAGATCTCAGCTCCGGTCAGATTCGACGGTCGCGGCGTCATCAGTGACCGACGCGAAGCATTGGATTTTCTCAGTGTGACGTGAAGCTTCCCGTCTTGGCCGATCTCCGCGTCCATTTCCAGGAAATCGTGGCCATCCAGGGAAACGATATCGGAATCGACCTTGAAGGAGATGATCGACGCCGCCATCTCCGGGAACTGCTCCATGATCAGAATCTTGGCGCCACGATACTCAAACAGGAAGGAAAAGAAGAAGAGTATACCATATGATACATTGAAGAACCACCACCTGAACCATGAGCGAGCCGGAGTAGGGTCCGTATATGGCGATCAACAAGAGGAGAGGAGAGAGAGGAGAGAAGACGAGACAAATGAGAGATTATGATTTAGGGTTAACCCTAAATCCTAAATTCTTTTTAATAAAAATTTCGGTTTTCAGTAAACCGGATCGATTAAATGAACCGATTTAACTAATCCGAATTGCTGACGTTTCACCTGACATGGCAATTTTTGAGACTTGTCACGCCACATCAACAATCGGATGCTGATGTGGCATGATCAATCCACTTTCCGATGTTAATTGGAAATTTAAAGAATAATCGGTGGTGGAAAACGGGAAAATTTGAAATCGGGTGGGGGATTTTGTTAACTTAAAAATTGATGTACTTATTTTACATATTTGGGATAATGTGTGTGGGTTTTTGCCATTTTATTATCCAAAATGTGTAAAATAAGTACATCAATTTTTAATTTGACAAAATTCCCCACCCGATTTCAAATTTTCTCGTTTTCCACCACCGATTATTCCTTAAATTTCCAATTAACACCGGGAAGGAGATTGATCGTGCCACATCAGCATCCGATTGTTGATGTGGCATGACACGTCCCAAAAAATACCACGTCAGGTGACACATCAGCAATTCAGGTTAGTTAAATCAGTTCATTTAATCGATCCGGTTTACTGAAAACCGAAATTTTTATTAAAAAGAATTTGGGATTTAGGGTTTCGAAATCTCTCATTTATCTCGTCTTCTCTCCTCTCAACCCGAACCGCATGGAAGGGATGACTGCGTTTGTTCTCTTCGAAATTCGAGGGCCGTGGAGTCGGGCCGCGTGAGGATTGAACCGAGTACATATCCGCTGGGCCAAAATTTGAGAGCCTTCCGCCGGGAAACCCATCACGGCGTAGAAGTCGGAGTGGGTTAAATTGGATCCTCTCGGAGTTGAGCTGAGGCTGTAGATCTCAGCTCCGGTCAGATTCGACGGTCGCGGCGTCATCAGTGACCGACGCGAAGCATTGGATTTTCTCAGTGTGACGTGAAGCTTCCCGTCTTGGCCGATCTCCGCGTCCATTTCCAGGAAATCGTGGCCATCCAGGGAAACGATATCGGAATCGACCTTGAAGGAGATGATCGACGCCGCCATCTCCGGGAACTGCTCCATGATCAGAATCTTGGCGCCACGATACTCAAACAGGAAGGAAAAGAAGAAGAGTATACCATATGATACATTGAAGAACCACCACCTGAACCATGAGCGAGCCGGAGTAGGGTCCGTATATGGCGATCAACAAGAGGAGAGGAGAGAGAGGAGAGAAGACGAGACAAATGAGAGATTATGATTTAGGGTTAACCCTAAATCCTAAATTCTTTTTAATAAAAATTTCGGTTTTCAGTAAACCGGATCGATTAAATGAACCGATTTAACTAATCCGAATTGCTGACGTTTCACCTGACATGGCAATTTTTGAGACTTGTCACGCCACATCAACAATCGGATGCTGATGTGGCATGATCAATCCACTTTCCGATGTTAATTGGAAATTTAAAGAATAATCGGTGGTGGAAAACGGGAAAATTTGAAATCGGGTGGGGGATTTTGTTAACTTAAAAATTGATGTACTTATTTTACATATTTGGGATAATGTGTGTGGGTTTTTGCCATTTTCCCAAATAAAATCATCATCTTTTCGGTAAACCAGGAAGCGTGTGGCTTGCGTGTGCGTACCATTATATAAATCATAAAATTTATATTAATTAATCTGATTTCATAATATTACACAAAAAAAAAATATAACTATATCGTGTAGTGTTAATGATTCAACATTTGCTGTCGTGGAAGAAAATAAAATATTAAAATTAGGTTTGCATCGTAATAAGAAACATTTAAAATTAAGAAATTAGTTTATTCGGGCGTTCCATTAGACAAAACACGCAATTAGGAGTACTGATTACCAATTGTAAAATGAAATTATTACATTAAATACCGATCTGCCCATGATTGTAGATAATGGTATGTAATTAATTTATGGATAGTTGATATCATAAAGAGAAAATATTTTTGAAACTTGTATATGTTGACATCATATAATCTATATAGTTACAATCATATAAATTGTATATTTATTATATGCTTTTATGAAATTTATTTGTGAATAACAATTATAAAAAAGAATAAAATGTACAATTGGAGAGGGGGAGAAAGAGGCGCGAGCTGACGTGGAGATGGCTTGGACAAAAGTGAAACTAACCAATCAAATGCAATCTCCGAGAAGCCAGCTGTCTCTTTTGGGCCCTACCACTCTATTTCATTAATATTTTAATTTTTAAGACTGTTTATTTATGATCACTATATATACACATATATATATATATATATAACTCAAATTCATCTTTTTTTACATAATTAGTCCAAATCGCATCAAAACGGTGTCACATGACGTGTTGGCATCTCGTCATAAATTCCAATAATTAATTGATTCCTTTTTTAAAATAAAAAAAATTATTCTATTTTACAGAAAATACGAAATTTTCTCCTTTGGGCCTAATTTTATTTTATTTTTTCACACTAAACGACAAAATCCCGCTGTCAATAAATTGGCGCCTCAGCCTCCTCTTCCAAAAATTTCAATCCTTTTGTTCACTCCTTCATCTCTTTCTTTGCATTCACACGACAAAACTGTCTGTCTGCTTCTTCTTTTGTTTGTTATTCGACCAAGAATCTTGAATTCACATCCATTAAACCCTTTCCATACCCAGAAAAATGATAAGCAAAGATCCAAGATCGAGCTTACCACCCGGATTTCGGTTTCACCCGACAGACGAAGAGCTCATTCTCCATTACCTGAGGAAGAAGATCTCTTCTTCTCATCAAGTCCCGGTATCCATCATCGCCGATGTCGATATCTACAAATTCGATCCTTGGGATTTGCCCGGTACGTATAACTCATGCTTCTGTTTCATCGTATACATAGCTGAATTAACGTACATATAATTTGAATGCGTATATATATTTTGTATCAGCTAAGGCTCCGTACGGGGAGAAAGAATGGTACTTTTTCAGTCCAAGGGACAGGAAGTATCCGAACGGAGCTCGCCCGAACAGGGCGGCCGCCTCTGGTTACTGGAAAGCCACCGGAACTGATAAAGTGATTGCGGCGGCGGCTAACGGCGGAGAGATTCATCGTCCCGTGGAGAAGATTGGAGTGAAGAAAGCTCTTGTCTTTTACAAAGGAAAACCTCCAAAGGGTATCAAAACGAATTGGATCATGCATGAATATCGCCTCGTAGATTCTCTCTCTCCCTCGAGGCTCAGTGGTTGTGATCGTGGTTTGAGATCTAAAGAATCTTCCATGAGGGTGAGCTCGAAAACGGTTTTTGATTTATGGGTCTGATTCTTTTTTTGGTTTTGTTTGTTGTTTATACAAATCTTGAGACTAATTCAACCTAACCGATATAAACCGGTTTTTACCTCTGATATGAAGTGTAAGAAGATCTGACAAGCTCTTTCTCGTGTTCTTTGCTCGTCAGCTGGATGATTGGGTGCTCTGTAGGATCTACAAGAAAACTCAAGCTTCTCCGGCTTTCATGGCGGCAACAAGCGATCAGGAACAAGAACAAGAAGAGGATGAAGAAGTGTCCATAACCGGACAGACCCTTTTGCCGAGATTACCTCAACTGACCTTTCCATCCATAATGTCAAACGACAATACCCTTAAGCCCCCGAAGAGTTCTTGTTCTTTCTCTAACCCGTCGGACCCCGGAGATTTGATGTTCCTCTCCGGTTTTCTCGCGGATAATCCAGAAAACCAGACCGAGTTCGAGTTCCCTTTGATGTTTGGTTCCTCGGATTTGGATTACGGAAACGGTTACTTGGATCAGAAGTTACCTCGATTGACCTCTCCGCCGCTGGAGAAGTTGGGGACTGACAACAAGCGGCAAAGGACGGATTTCGTCGACGAAAAGATGAACCCTTTGAAGAAAACGATGAACATTTGCGGTTACAATAATAATACTATGGATCAATTTGATCATAGTTTTATGAACCAGCAACTGTTGTTGAGTCCTCACCTTCAATTCCAAGGATGATTTCAAAGGACCTCTGTTTCAAAACTCTCATCTCTCTCGTAAGGTTAAAAACCGAATCGAAAGGGGAAAGAAGGGGAAAAAAAGAATTGGGGGGACAAATAAGGTAATATAAAAAAGTAGGGGTCGTTATGGAAAACAATGGAAATATTGCGGTGGAAAACATGACAAAAGAATAGTTTACTACTGTTCTTGCATATTAGATATCTATTTTTGCAGTTAGATATGTACCTACATGGAAAATCATATTTCATTTGCATAGTCTATGTATCGTAAGATTTTTAAATCTAGCTTAGATTTAGTTCACGATAACATATATATATATATCATAAAGCACAAGAGATTATTATTATTATTATTACTATTATTATAATATTATATTATTATTATTAATTTGGTCCATATATAATGATTGTGGTGTTCCGCTAATCCACGTGGAGATTAAAGCCCAATAATTGTGACTGTTCAATTTTATTCGGTACATTACCCGGGGAACTCAAATGATTTTTCAAATTGCTTTAGATTTGATTCAAATAATAACATTTATTTAATAAATCAAAGCCATAATAATAATAATAATATTTAAGTAACATTTTCATAATTTTCTAGATTGTTTTTCTTCCGGTCCAAATCGCAAAAGTTGCGATATCTTCTATTCTGCGCCAAACTTAATTTTGTCTTTGTAAAAATTGCATTTATTTTGATTTTATAATTGATTCGGATTAAGAATAAATGGAACCTAAAAATTCACTTCAACTGTTAATGTGCAGTAGATGGGCCGTAAATGGGCCACAAGGGCCCCACAATGTGCAGCCCATATTCAGTCATGAAGGTATACAACAATGCACCTTTGCTTGGTGTGCCGTGTGCGTGTGATCGACCCGGTTTGATCGAATCGTGAACCGGTTTAAATCATTGGTACGGCCAACTGACCTAACACTAACATTAAGTTAATCCATACAATTTAAATTATCGATTTTCTATTATCTTTTGATTCATTTCAATAATGATCTATATATCCTTTTAATAAATAGTGTTACAGAAATAATATGAAAATATCGGATTATATGGTCCGATTAGTCGCATGTTAAAATAGTTCATAATATTACTAAACTGGTTATTTAATGTGCTATTCAATTAAAAATTATGTTGTATTTAAAATTAGTCTAACTTATTTATATCAATTCATATAAAATTAATAAAAATCAGTATTAATTTTTTTTATTATAAACTATAATAATTTTCTAGATAACAGTATACCATATATATATATATATATATATATATATATATATATAATACACGCATGTACACGGATAGAGGGAATGTTGTGCATGACAGAATTAAGCAAGAAACCAATAAGGAAAGAGTTAAGCAAAATGATTTTTTAATTATCAAACTCAATTCTTAATCAATAAGATAACAATAGAGGTTAAATAAACATATGAAAATAATATCTTTGATTTTGAGATGACATGAGAGACTACCCGAATCTTCTAATGAATATTCAAATATGCATAGTAAAATAATTGTAATTGTAGGTCCAACTGTCATATTTGTATAATCGATTTAATAGTACGTTCCATTCATTAAATTATTCGAATAGTCTATTTATTAATGCATTATTTATGTATCGATCTTTTTTCTAAACAAGACGATATTATATATTAATCGAAAATAAACATAGATATACATGTATATATACACACTTATATTTTCAAGATTCTAAGCATTTTTGTGTGGAACCAATATTTCCAAGGCGTGACGCGCTTTTTATATTAGAAAATTAATTTAGATTGCGTACCGAAAATTACAATTACATAATTTACATTAGAAAGCCACAAGATCATAAAAATAAAAATAAAAACTTTTTTCAGCCCCAAAAATGTCTCGAACTATGAAACAAATAATTTCGGTCTATGTTCTTGAGCTATTAGTGGACCATAATTATAAAGCTAGTTGGTCCACTTGATTACACTTTTTTTATAAAAAAAATTTTGGTGAGATTAACTTATAAGAATTCCAATCATAAATAAATATACGAATGCATACACACTCAGACACACGTATGACCGATCTTAAGGGATGGTGGTAGCCATGACTTGGAACAAGGTTGAATGACATCACACACTATTTTTCGATATTTTTATATTATTTAAAAAATCAGTTTAGAATAAATTAATCTAGTTTTATAAAAATTATAATTAATATATATTTCAAATAAAAATATGACTATATATCATTTAATTGTTTTCGCACAATTTTATATTTTCGATTTCAAATATCAATTTGTAGATAATATATAATAAGCAATGTTTCATAACCATAAAAGTCAATTAACATTTAATAATATTAATTTTATAGAAATAAGCGAAGAATTTTTATGCAATGATGCCTTTCGTTAACAAAATGATTTCTCCCAAAATCTCGTACTAATATTATTATTTGGATAAATTTAGAAAATAAAAAGGGAAAAATTCAATGTTTACCGGTGAGTCCGTCTGGTATATAATCCTTGGACACGTGGCCCAATAAGATTCGTATAAAAAGAGTCTTGCGCAAAAAATGACGTCAGTGGACGTCATCCAATGATGTGGCTTCTTCGCTTTTGCAGTCTCACCTCGGGAGGACAAAGTCAACGGACGCCTGGGCTGGGACCCACGCGCCAAACAATGTTTAATTAAGAAAGGCAATTTCAATTGGACATTAATTAATTATTAACTCCTTATTTTAAAATTTTAGTAATTAAAATGTTTGATAAGTTGGAGCAGTCTTTTTTAAGAATATATATATATATATATATATACGGAGTTTATTTGTTTGATGCATTTAATATTTTATTTTATTAGAAAATATCATTTAATTTTCTTTGTCATTTGAAAATCTTAATATGTAATGATTATCGGGTACATATGTAGGTATGATTTACGAATCACAAGTTTAAAAATTTGTATTACAACAGTATGTTGTGAATTTTTTTTTATTAGTTGGTATATAATAAGCATTTGGAGTGTATAGAAAAGAATGCATACATAAAAGAGACAACTAGACAGTTAAATTAGTTGGAGATTAGGCGACACATTATTGAAACTTTTCGAGGAAAGCACTAATGTGATGGAGGAAGAAAAAAGAATACAAGTGGATCGATCACTTGAGTATGTATGTATGTATGTATGTATGTATGTATGTACTTATGTATGTATGTATGTATGTATGTATGTATGTATGTATGTATGTATGTATGTATGTATGTATGTATGTATGTATGTATGTATGTATGTATGTATGTATTAAATTTTTCTAATTGCGTTAATAAAGTCAGATGGGATATAAAAATACTTAATTTTCACTCCCGATCAATTTGCAAACTAATATAATATCTAATAAGCCACATCCTACACATTGGTAGTAAACAATTTAAAATAATAAATTTTAAATTTACCAAATTGAAATTATAAAATTTTATTTAAATTCTTCTGTTGGCAAGCAAAATTGATAGTCAGCAAGTTGAGATGATAAAGCCAAGTTCTAATATATTGTTGGCTGTTCTAGTTATAAAGATATAGTTTAATTAAATATTAATGATATTATTATAATCTATCCATACTTTGAAATTTTCAATTAATGATTTTATAATCGTACATATGAATTACAATGGATTATTATGTATATATATATATACCGATTTTGAAGACAATTTGGAATGTATTATATATATATGGGCTTAGAAAAATAGTTTGATTAAATTATTGATAGATAAGTATGAATTAAAATGTAGATAACTAGCGTCTATACATACAAACAATAAAAAAAAGTATGTAGTTTCTAATGTGGATACTTTTTGGGCGAAGAAACTCTTTAATCAGAAAAGAGATTTCTTAGGGTTTTCAGCCCTTTGGGACATTATAAAAAATATCCTCATTTTGCTATTTTTACTTCAAGAATTACCCTTGTGACCATGTGACCAATGTGATCGAAATATAGTATGGTCACATATTGATCTCATTGTTCATAACGTTGAATTTATGATGTTTTAATCAAATGATTAATAAGATATACATGGTATGAACATAATGAATTAGTGTGATCATCATAAATTTAATGTTATAATTGATAAAATCAAAATGTGACCATACTATATTTCGGTCACATTGGTCACAAGGGTAATTCTTGAAGTAGAAATAGCAAAGGAAGGGTATTTTTTATATAATGAATTTTCTTTGTGTAGAATATTAATTTATTAAACAAATCACATTTTTTTTTTCAAGAATGGGTCTACGTAACACGAAAGATAACCCTACCTTTTCAGCCCCTTTTTCAGTGTTCTTTTCATATATTTCTCTGTCGTTCACTCATGGTTCTTTTTTTTTCGTCAATAATAAGCACATAGGATTTAGACAAAGAAAAAACTTGAAAAATGAATGGAAAAACAAAACCCTAATTGAATTTGTTTTATGAGGGGAGGCTTGTTCAACAATTCAGGAAGTTGCGTGGAGCCTACGTATCTCCACAAAAGAATTTTTTTTCTTTTTCTTTTCATAGCTCTCTTCTTCGTCTCTTTGCCCCTTTTTCTACATTTCTCATACTTTTATATATCTCCCTTTAACTCTCTCTCTCTCTCTCTCTCTCTTCATTCTTGTTCTTGGTTTATATCTCTTGTGTGCGCCTTTCTCTGTACATACGCACGCATACACCGACTTCCTCGATCATCCTTTTCTCAAGAACGTTTCTGGGTTTTTCTTGTTTTCTTGCAATCTATAAAGGGTTTCACTTTGTTTTTTTTTTTTGGGTGTTGTCGAATCGTAATTGTCACAAGTCGACGTACGTATATACACACAATATATAAAGGGGTTTCCACTTTGTTTTGTAAAGTTGGCATGGCGGTTGTAGAAGAAGGCATAGTGGTGAGCCATGGAGGCGAAGAGCTGGTGGATTTGCCTCCGGGGTTTAGGTTTCACCCTACGGATGAAGAGATCGTCACTCACTACCTGAAAGAGAAGGCCATCGACAGCAAATTCACGGCGGCGGCCATCGGAGAAGCCGATCTCAACAAGTGTGAGCCGTGGGATTTGCCGAGTAAGTCAAACACGATTCAACGCCATCTACGTTGAATGAATTTCATCAAAATCTGGCTAATCATCTCGGCTTGGTTTATACACACACACACACACACACATGCAGGTAAAGCAAAGATGGGTGAGAAGGAATTCTACTTCTTCTGCCAAAGAGACCGGAAGTATCCGACGGGGATAAGGACGAACCGTGCGACCGGGTCAGGGTTTTGGAAGGGGACCGGGAAGGACAAAGAGATTTACAAAGGCAAAGGTTGTCTTGTTGGGATGAAGAAAACACTTGTGTTCTATAGAGGAAGAGCCCCAAGAGGGGAAAAGACCAATTGGGTGATGCATGAATACAGGCTTGAAGGCAAATATGCTTACCACAATCTCCCCAATTCCCCAATGGTGAGTGTGCGCACATATATATATATATATATATATATATATATATATATATATAATAAAACACCG